CCTCTCCAGACCAGTCTGCCGATGTCACTGCCCACTGCCCGGGCCGTCCCTCCCTTTCTTCCTCCACCAACCTCAAGAGAGTGCTCCCTGCTGACACGTGGCCGGTCACCTCTGCCCTGCGCACCACCCCCTTCATGGCCCGGCGGCTTCCTTGGCTGACCCGTGCGTGTGGCTGTTGGGGGGGACATATGAGCAGCCAGCGCTGTCCACAAGCTGGCCGCCCGCGGGCCCCTGCGTGCCTATGTGTTAACCCTGGAACAACTCGGCCTGGGGCGGAATGCGCTTCCTCGGGCTCAGTCGTTAAGCAGAGAGGTCACTGTCCGGCGACGAGTGTGGTGATGGGTGTGCACGGGGGCGCTCCGCACTGTCCTGCTCGTGGGCCGCGTGCCGTCTGTGCTCTGGGGGCCGCGGGCACAGGGGAGCTGGCTGCATCATCTCCTTGGCCGGCGGGCGCCCCTCGCCGGGGTGGCGGGGTCAGGGAGGGCGGGCCGTGGCCCGGCTGCTCAGCGCCCTCGTCTCTGCCGCCAGCAATCCCACGACGCGCTCCTGCTGCTCCTGCTGCTGGCGCTGCTGCTGCAGGCGAGTCTGCACACGGGCACCGTCATCCGCTGCGTGGGCTTCAAGGCGGGCGCCTCCCGGGATGCCACGCGGGCTGGCCCGCAGGAGCGCCCGGCGGGCGAGGTGAGTGGCCTCTGAGCTGAGCTGGCGACCGCCCTGTCCTGGTGGGCGGCCCCCCCAGGGCCTTGTGCAAAACGACACCTATCCTGGCTGACTTCTTTCAAGACCTGTTTTGTCACTTTGTTTTTTTAAAGATGTCCCAGAAAAATCTTGAAGAAGTAAAAGGCGTAATACTTTATAGAGCCAACTAGGCAAAAACAAACCCATTCCTGGAAAATATCAAGAACCGAATGCTCCCAGCTTAACGCTTACAGGTGTAGACGAGAACTTTGCAAGGGTTTGGGGGACCACAGGGGGTCCCTCCCCTGCCCCTCTTGGCTCCCTGCAGATAGGGTGGTCACGCCAGCCCTTCTGCCCGGCTGAAGGCTGCCTGGACCAAGAGAGGGTCTGTCTCTCTTCCCCCTGCAACTGAGAGCCTGGGGGTCAGCTTCTCCTCGTGTGAGCTGTCCACCCACTGGTGTGTTCACTGGGCAAACCTGCCCGCTGGCCGTCAGGTGCTCCATGCCCTGTGCGCGGCCCTCTAGGGCTTCCTGGGATGGAGGGGACACCTGTCCTGCCCAGCCACTGTTTGGGCCCCTCACAGTCTCATCTCCTGTGCTCCGCACATCCCCCTGCATCCCAGCCACGCCCAGCACGTGTTCCCGCCAGACCGCATCTGACCTGCCGGTGGCCGTCCTCAGCCACCTAACCTTCCCCTCCCGCCGTCCCTGCACGGTTTCTCTGTCACACGCCTTGGACCCACCATTTCCCTGTGGTTGCTCCCTGGGTGTGGTCAGCTTCTGGGGGGACAGCTGTGTCCCCAGGCCGCACGAGCAGTGGACCTGGTTCTGTGTCGGGTGAAGGAGCCCTGCCCAGATCCACACCTGCTGGTTCCGCCCATCACGGAGCAGCTGCTTCTCGTTTCGAGATGTCTCTGGTGGCTGCCACCACGAGCACCCTCCTTCCCCAGTTAGGCCCCTGCCGAGCTTCCACAGTCCTAGGCCAGATCCAGACCCCTTCTCTGTGGGGGCATCGTCCCCCGCCCCCAGGAGGAACCTAGAGGCCCCGTTGGGTCCTGCACTGTGCTGCGTGTCATCCTGGCCAGCGAGCGCTTAGCAAGCACCTGCTGTATGCAGACGCTGGCCCTGCCAGGCGCCGGCCCGCGGCCCCAGAGAACCAGCAGGCAGAGGCCTGACGAGCCGGTGCTGTGCCCCCGAGCCCCTTTCTCCCAGCCCACTGGACCAGTGTCCCCACCCCAGAGCCAGTGAGCTCGTGGGCGGCAGGGAGAGCTCACCGCCAGCCCAGGCTCTGCTCCCACAGGGGACGCAGCGTGGAGCCGAACGGCGGAGGGGGAGGTAGGGGGGCGGGGGCAGGGCCCAGGGGCTCTCCTCCGAGGGGCACAGGCTGCAGGGGGCGCTCGGCCTCCTCCGGGCGGCGGGAGGAAGAGCCCTCTGCCTGTCTTGTCGCAGGTGGCCCGCAGCCCCCTGCCGGAATTCGACAGGGAGAAAGCCTGGAGAGCCGTCGTGGTGCAGATGGCCCAGTGACCGCGGGAGGGGACTCCGGGCCGCAGGGCCCGCCCGGCCCGGACTGCAGACGTCTGGCCCTTGGACTGCTGCTTCTATCCCTCTCCAGCCCCCCACCCCCGTTAGCCAGGGCGGCCGGGCACAGGGTGGAGTGCCCGCCTCTCGTGGTGGTTCAGTTTTGAAACAGGCAGACGCTGACCGTCTTGTGCTCAGCGGCCGGGCAGGTCGGTGCTGCAGAGGTGATGCCGGTGCTGGGCTGGACGCCAGGCCCTGACGTGCGGGCGGGCGTCCTGTCCACCCTGTGACCAGCTGCCTCCCGCACCTTGCCCAGCGTCCCCGTCCCGTTTCTGTTGGGCACCTATTGTGTGTGGACAGTACGCGCACGGGCTCAGTCTGGCATGGATGTCACGTGGTTTGGGGGTTTCTCTTTGGACCCCCCGCCGAGCCTCATTTCCGTGACCGGACAGCGAGCTGAGTGCTCTATCCTGTCCCCAGACCCCCAGGGTCTACACCCACAGCGTCGCCCACGCGATGGCCTGAGCCCTAGTCCCACGCTTTTACCTGTACCCAGCCATGGCGGGGCGCCCTGCCCGCCCAGTGGCGCCGGTTCGTGCCCGGGCGGCTTGTCTGCACTTGCCGCTGGTCACTCCCAGCTCCTGCGCCCCCTGCTGACCACGTGAGGACCCGCCCCATCCACATGTGGCCCTGTTCTTTGGGGTGGGGTTGCGTCCAAGGGCTTAAAAACCTACTAGGCCAGGCCTGTGTCCCCACGGGCCTGGGGACCTGGGCGAGGCTGAGTCCCCCACCTCCTGCCACGATGCTCCCTCTGGCCAGGCCACTCCCGTCACCTCTCAGGCCGCCCGAGCCCTCCCAGGTCCTCGCTGGGCCTGTCTCCTAACAAAGCTTTCCCTGACCCTCACTCACCTGAGGCCTGGCCCGGGCCAAGGGTCTCCCCTGTCTGCCACCGCCCACCTGCCAGACTACAGGGACGGTTTGGGTGTGAGAATCACATTTGCTTTGATTAAAATAATGGCCAAGAATTAGTTTGTGTGCCATTTCTGTCCCCTGAGTACACCTGAAATCTTCTAGGAAAACTGTTAGCTTCTCCCAGGTGACATGGCAGCAATGAATCCCCAGTGGGCTGGCTGCACCTTCTCCAGGTGGGGCAGGAGTGGTCTTCCAGCTGGTCCTTCCGCTCACCAGGCAATACACAGGAGTGGCCTCGCTCCCTCCCTCTCAGTGTAAGCACAGTCAGCGGCAGTGCAGGGAGAGGCTGAGTCCCCGCTTCGCTCAGCTGAGGACATCCGTTAGGTCCCCACAGGCCGGCGAAAGGCCTGGGGCCACCAGGATCAAAGGACCAGGAGCCCCGGGAGACAAAGGCTGGCAGGGCTGAGCAGCTGTGGGCCCGGTGAGGGTGACTCAAGGGTCCCCCCCGCTTCCTCGCTTCTGAGCATGAGTGACTAGCTGCCAGGGTCACGACAAGTTGGGTCACTTTTCCAGCACGAGGAATGCAGTAGGACACCTGAAAGGTGGAGCGTGCCAGTCGGGCAAGGTCCTGACCAGCCCCTTCTGCTGTCCTCGGCAGCTCAGCTCCAGAAGGCGACAGGGAAGGGGCCAGGCAGGCAGACGCCTCAGCCAGGTGGCTCTCACCTGCACCCATATAGACCCCACCCAGGGGCATCCCAGGCCACCTCCCCTTCCTGCAGGTCCCAGGAAGGCGGCCAGGTGCGGTCTGCTCCTGATCTGGGGACGGGAGCCACAGGACAGCACAGGCGAAGCTGGTGTCTCGGGGGCCCAGCAAGTCTGAGTTGAGCTGCGACTGGGCATCTGGGAGCTCAACACGGTTTGTACTTCAGAGAGCGCTGGGTAAACCCAGGCAAACGGGGTTTCAAGAATGTGTAACTGTCGCTTTACAGTTTTCTTGCATATAGTTAATACTGCCTAACAATAAATGCTACCGTGTGCTGCGGCCTGAGGCCTGTGTAACTTGGGGTGTCCCAGGGGTCTCCCTGCCCAGGTTCGGAGAGGTGGGAGGTAAGTAGGAGGGCGGAGCGAGGCGAGTCCACCTTTTAGTTTATTCGTGATTTCCCTAACCCGTGATTTCCCTAACCCGTCCCTTCGCGGAGTTGGAGCTGGCGAGACCAAGGACCCGCCCCGCCCTGCGTCCTCCACAGCCCACGCGGCCCCAAAGCGGGGCACGACCTTACTTTGGGGTTACTTTGGCAAGTTGAAAAAATTTAAACCAAATAAAGATGACAACTAGGTTTCGGAACTTACCGGGAGCGAGGGCACCTGGGGGGCCGTCCCACTCACCCTCCCTTCGCGGAGATGGGGGCCAGAGGCGGGCTGAGAAGGAAGGGGACTTCAGGAGAGTGTGGCATGCCTGGGTGGCGGGGACCCTGACTGAGCGCGGGACGCCGGGTCGCCGGGGGACACCAGGCCGCACTAGGTTCCTCTGAGGGACAGGGGAGCTGCCCCCGCCACCCGATCGTCGCCAGCGCGCAGGTCCCAGCCGTCACCCCCACCTGGCGGACTGTGCGCCCGAATCCGGCCATGGAGGCCTGGGGCGTCCGGCTGGGGGAGCACGGGGAGTGAAGGTCCGGAGGGGCCCGGGGTGGGGGCGAGAAGGCCGCGCCAGGAGGGCCGGGGGCGGAGCCTGTCCAGGGCGGCCGCCAGCCCTGGGGGGCGGGGGCCAGTTGTGACCCTCGGTCTTTATGACTTGGTGGCGAGGCCTCTGAATGCCAGGGCGGGTCTGTGTGACCCCAGCAGCCAGAGCGGGGCGGGGGCGGGGCGGCCCCTCGCGGGCCCCCTTCCCC